GATAGGTTAGCTGCATGCCCTAGAGAGCTTTGGGGGGCTGTTTGTGGGGGCAGTCTCAGTGGTCATCGGGGGTCGTAACTGGAGCAATGCCGACCTGTTTGTGAAGCAAGGTGGTGCAACTGTGTAACCTAACCTGAAGGGAGCATGAGGCTTGGAAGAGCTTCGGTTCGTGCTGAAAACAGCCATGTTGGTGGTGGTCGTAGGTGGATTGAATAGGTTTCACGTATCTGATTTGTGGTTGGGAGGCTTTTTGACACACATATTCTACTGACTTGGTAGAGTCTGAATAGTGGAAAATAGGTTGGTTGTTCTTATGAATGTCTTAGGACTCTAGGGAATCTTAGCAACCTATCTTAGGCGGTTTTGAAGTTGTTATACTCAGTGATATGTGGCTGTTCGATGCCAGAACGACGCTGGCCGGTGCTGGGGTGTTGCCCTGTGACGCGCAACCTCACGCCCTGTGCTGTCTTTCGTTCGGAGTGCTAGAGGTGCGGAAAAGGGGCCCAAAAAAACAGCAAGATGGGGTGTGCCAAGGATTTTTGGAAATTAAGTGTGGGGACACAGACGGAACTGAAATCCCCCGTGTTGGTCCGATGAAGTAAGTCGATCGTTTTTTCGTGCGTCGCAAAATGCGCGCGGGAGTTCGGCGTGAAAGGAGAGAGAATACAAATTCAGTCCAAAAAGTATTGTCGGACTTCCCACTGTGCTACGGCCCTTCGTTTAGAGCGAAAAGGCTTCGGCACGCTTCGCGTGTCTCATCTTCGTATTAAGTCCCGACGTCGTTCACCAGTCAGTTCTGAGTCCGACGTGGAGGGCCTCAGTCGTGTGACTCTTTCTCTGTGTTCGTCTTCACTCCGTACGCGGTAGTGGAAACCCTTGGATTCGTAGCGCTCAAAGCGCCGGCACTCGGTGCATAGAGTGCGAGGCCAGCGGGGTTCTACTGCCGTCCACGGGATGACGATCAACTCGTTAAATGGCAACAATATCGAGTAAGGTGGAAAGTGTGTATCGATAATAACAAACCCAGCCTCTACGGACCCTGAACAACGATTTTCCGGAGGGAAGTAATATCGTCCGCCGATTCGTGCGACAGCTTCTCGTACGTCCCACTCGCATACACGTGTCCTTTCCTCGTCGTAAGGAAAAGGTCGCGTTGATACGGGAGATACGGGAGGCTGACGCCCGATCGAAGGGCGTTTGTCAGACCACATGTCAATCAACTGCAAAAATCATGAGACGTCATCAAGGAAAAACACCCGCACAACCACCAATCAATTCTTTTCGACACGAGAGAGAGAGAGAGAGAGAACACTCATCAGCTTGATCATGCATGTAACTGAGGGACCGACCCGCGACTTAGGTTAGTAAGCCACCACGACGTTGATCCAAGCCGCCTTGTTTCTCGAGGTTGTCCTGTAGATCGGTTGCAAATGCCGTGCAACATAAGGCAGATGACATGCGCAGTGCATTCAGAACTACAGATCTAAACACTCTTGCATTCTCGAACAAAATCCCGCCGAGTGGTGCGTCTAATCAACACAACAAGGCAAGTATCTCCATACATATATTCACTGTGGAAGGTGCGAAAATGACAGGAGTACACAGGTCGGAAATCAACCAAGGGAATTGTACACACGCATCCACCGTTCACAAGACAAGAGGATCAATTCCTCGACATCCGGGGATTACCCAGGAAACTAATGTAAGAGTTTCGGAAGAAGTTCCTTCACACAAGAGAGCACACAAATTCATTCCCATTCATGAGAGGGACAAGCATCAAGACACATCGTCATTCAAAGATAGAGGAGAGAGAGAGACGAGGGAGGAATGTTGAGATAGGAGATGACAATATTCGAAAAGAGGAAGTTCGGCGTTACCGCCGTACACTCACGCCAGAGATAAAGATCCGCAACAACAAAGGCGCATTCACCGTGAATTCCGATATGGTCCCGGGCCAACCACCCACTCAACTCCAATCATTGATCCTCATACCCGCACCGACGATCCCGATCGTCGCGTGCTAACTCCCACCACTGCGATCGTCACGCCGCCGACGTAAACTCGACGCGGTTCGCCCAGATCCCACAGTCCGTCGTGGCGATCAAGCGCGCAACCGGCCAGCCTATCGTCAGCCCGATAGGACTTTCCGACTGGCATCAAACACTCTGCCTAGCCACTGCTTCCCGGAAGCTGGCTTGGGAGTCGAGAACGTAAGAGAGATTTGCGGGCGCGTTTGCGGAATTTATAGTGGTGAGAAGGGGGGCAAGGGAGAGAGAAGGCAGGGGGAAAATCAAAGTGTAAGAAAAGAAGCATGAGGAGAAGACTTGGTGAGGAGTGCGCTACGGAAGCCATGTTGATCCTTCGGGACTCTGAGCTTCGCCAATCAGATTCGTCGCGCAATAAGCAGATCCTATCGTACCACGCGTTTGATTGGTGGGCGAGAGTAATCGAAGGATCGACCGGGCTTCCGATTTCACGTTCGGAAGGCGAAAGGAAAAAGGGCGCGAGAAGTAGCGCAAGACGGGTCTAAGATTCAGATGATCAAGAAAGGGAAATGGGCGCGCAACCAATCAGAGCGGGAGAGAGAGAGGGAAAACAGTTGCGAGAAGGGAGGATGAGAAGGGGGAAGGAAGAAAGAGTGCGGGAGAGAACGATGCGGGAAACAGAGCGGGGGGGGGGGAGAAGAAAGGTTCGCATGTGTGGCGCCGTCAACAAAAAGAAAAAGAAAAAGGCACCGAAACAGTGACAGCTTGCCTATGTCCTAAACCAATTCAAAATTGAAATCACCATATCCGCGCGCGAAAAGGATGACGCGAGAAAAGAAAGTCCTACGCCTATTTGTATCCTCACAAAATTCCAAGAGTTTTCCCCAACGCGACCGAGAACATTCACACACAAAAAGGACACGTCGAAGTCCGCGTATCCCCGAATTCCCAATTGCCGGGCCCAATTCCTAGTGCGCTCGCTAAGGCGCGCGTAAATTCCTATGTATTTCCCGAATTGCAAAAGAAAAAGCAGAACCGAAGAATCACAAAAGCTTCCGGAAGATGGGGCCCCAAAACGCGGCGCCTGAAATCAAGAAAACAAGACGGGGTGCTTGTAGGGTCGGTATGATACAAGAAAAATTCAAACCAAAGGGGTACGAAAGATAGCCCGGGTTCGGGAAGTAGTTCGTCACAGCCCTGTAACCTGCTGATGCAGGAGCGCGAGGCCTGGTAGAGAGATCTGGGGATGCTTTGGGGTGGGCATCCTGAGCGACAGCCAAGGTTTGCTGGTGGGACGACGCTGGTCGGAGCTGGGGTGAGTTGTGTTGCCCTGTAACCCAGCAGGGTGGGGGCGTGAGGCCTGGAAAAGCTCAGCAGGGAGTAAGACTGTGTTGGGAAGTCTTAGAAGGGCTTGTTAGGGATCCTGAGGGTTCTGAGCATTCGTAGGACCTCTGTGGCAGCCTATTGCATGAGTAGTTTCTTAATAGGTCATTAGATATTCATGATCTTCCCCATGCTTTCGGAATCATTATCGTGCTCACAGACTGTTCTTACCCGTAGTCGGGTATTGGCTCCGGTATCTCAAATGATCTCAAATGTTCTCAAAGATCTGTACAATTCGATATGGGACGCTGGGCCCGGTTCCCAGCACGTGCTGCTCCCCACGAATAGACTGGAGCACGTGTTTTTTTAAAAAAAAAAAAAAAAAAAAAAAAGGTTAGCTGCATGCCCAGTTTCCCTTGTTTCTTTTTCCGGGGGGGGTGTTTTTTTTTCCTGTTAGTTGAATCATTGAAAAAGATAACGTTGTTCTTGGATGATCAGACCAGCAGGCCCTGGTTTGGCCACTTCTGGCTCTCAATCACACTAAAGCCCTAAGGCCCTACACCAAAGCTGTGTGAAATGGTTCCAGTCCCCTTCTTTGGTTCCCGGGTTGTTTGCAACTCCCGGCCGGATTTGCATCTCACAAAACGGATGTTCTTTCTTTCTTCCCCCATAATTCCTTAGCAAGCAAATGGACAAACCCATGACTGAAGAATAAAGGAACAGACTCCCGGTTTCTGGTTTCAGTTAGTCAGAGGAATGGGATGCTGGTCCCGGTTTCCAGCACAGTGTTTTTTCTCTGATTGTCTCATGCTCAGGTCTTTGTCTCAAACTTTCACCCACGAAGTTCATAAGGGACGCTGAGCCCAGTTCTCAGCACGTGATGCTCCCSACGAATAGATTGGAGCCTGAGTTTAAAAAAAAAAAAAAAAAGGAACAGATCTGTGTAACCGAGGAGTGCGTACGGCCATGTCGCTCTGCTTTTTTTTTTTGTTTGTTTGTTTTGTTTTTAGTTTTTCACTGCCATGTCGCTCTGCTGAGAACATGTCTGTTCAGTTTCCTGGGAAGTTCTAAAGGATTGAAGGAATGACTACCTTCTTCCCCCAAATACAACGTATGGTCATTTTAGCTGTATCTAGACTGAAAGATGCCTCAAATGCAGCTATAATGACCGTACGTTGTATTCGGGGGAAGAAGGTTCCGAAATGGAACACCAGTACTTTGTGTTTCTCTTCATACCCCCTGCTCATCTCCCTGCCACTGCCTATTCTAGCTAAAACACAAAGAGATTTGAAGACACCAGGCTGGAAACCGGGTCCAGTGTCCCATAGGCCATAGACCACTAGTATCAAGAAAAGGCTGGAAGCCGGGCCCACCAGGCTCGGGCTACCTAACCCAGTGGCCCTGGCTGGCCCCGGGCCCTCCCAGCAGTAGGCATTCTCAGGCACAAATATAGATGGAGTGGCCAGCAGTAGGCTTACTAGGGGAGGCTGCTTATATCACCCCCCCTAGTAGGCGCGCCATGGCCTCGTTTCAAAAAAAGAAAAAAACAAAGTGCTTCTCTTCAAAGTTCATACTAAGTTCATAGGCATTATTTGTTTTGCGGCTTTTGCCAGATTGCAGTAAAGAAACAATGTGGGAAATATGACTAATGTTGCCCCCCTTGGTTGGCGCATGGATGTGTTTTGGCCACAGAGGTGCACCCTCACTTGCCGCGAGATCATGGCTGCTGTGCAACTTGTCCTCGGGGGAGAGCTTTCCAAGCATGCGATCCACCTGGCAACAGAGGTTCTCACCTTATTCAGTCAATGATTGTCCAAAGTTGAAAACTGATATCCTTCTGCATTTGAGAAGCCATCATGGTCTCTCTCTCTCTCTCTCTCTCTCTCTCTCTCTCTCTCTCTCTGTGTGTGTGTGTGTGTGTGTCTTGTATGCGCGTGCGCCATGGTCCTGCACACCCAGACCCACACACAATCTTTGTGTGTGTGTGTCTGAAACAAACATGCAAACACACTCTCGTAGCCAGTCGCTCACTTCCTCTGTGGCTCTCTTTTCCTTGTTCGGATCGCACATTTGGCCACTTGTACCGTGGAGAAGAGGCATGTGGAAGTTTGGGTGTGCCCGTCATGTGAAGCAATGTACATAGTCCACTATGAAGGTGCTAGGTTTAAGAGATGAGATGGTAGACACTGTATGATTTTCCAGTAGTATCTTGGGAAGCTTATATTTGAAAATGGGGCCTGGCCTGTAGAACAGCCTGGCCCATAGAGCAAGTAGTATGTAATCCACAGGGCGATGAGGAAGTGAGGACGATATTCTGGTTTTCCACTCTCAGACTGTACATTCCACAGGGTGCTAATCCTGATCACCTAGTAGCAGACATCCTTGTGACATCGCTTTTATTCCCTTTTACTTATGCTTCTAGTAGTGTAGACCCTCTTGGACACCTTTTGCACTTTCTTTTCTCATCCTTTCAAGATCTGATTCAGAAGGTCAGCTGAGAACTCGCTATTCGTCTTCAATATGGAGAATGCCGCAGAAGAACGTTCAACGAGCTTCGACGAAGCAGATGCAGCCACTTTGGCTGGCCAACCTGGCACAACATATGGCCAGTGTCACAGTTTGATTTTTGCCCTTTTTCATCTGTGAACATTTTCAATAAGAAGACTTTCCCCTCAATAGCCCACCACAATGGCCCCTGCAGCCTCTCATTGCACTAGGATAGGTGCTCTTTTTGGGGTCAAAAACATATTCATGTTCAATCATGCTCTCGTTGGTCGTCATTGGGCTTATTACTCTCCTTCGGACTACTCCAGTTTTCATCTGCTTCCTGACGTTTAGAGCCTCCGGTTAACAAATCAATGTCCATGAAATGCTTTGTACTAAGATCGTAGTCAAATCGTACGGATGGCTACATGCCGCGGGGTCGCTATTGGTGTAGTTGGTTGTACTTTTTCGCCGCAGAAACAGTGCAAAGCTCCAATCTATTATTGGGACCTGCATTTGGTTACCAGCCCCGCACCATCAGGTAGGTTTGTATCATTCATCTGCCAATGAGGCATCAGAGTCTGGTTTGAAATGGTTCCCCAACCATCCTTTGGGACAGCTGTGAAAATTGGAAGGATAGCACGGACCCTTTGCGAAGATCACACACATGAAAGGATGGATGTCCAATCTGGGTAGCATCCTGTACGCATATGCAGGGAGTACAGTGTACGTACTCCGGACTACAGGTACTAACATTGGAGTACACGCACTTGCTGAAAATCGCGTGCACGCATACAAAAACTCCTCCTGATGAGTCGGTGAAACTCCGACGAAACAGTTTATCACAGCCCCTCGTTTGTTGTCCTCTTCTCCTCTCTGCCTAAAGGTTGAGCGCCGGCTGCCCCCATCCCCGTGTGTCACAAGGGCCCACTTGCACGCAGCCAAAAGGCAAAGAGCTAAAGAAAAGGAGGAGGAAACCAAAGCTCACAGAGGCAAGAGAAAGAGAAAGGGATTCAGTCAAAGAAAGGACAAGGGAAGAGGAAGGCCTATCAGTCAAACAAAGCAAATGACACATCCCATCGTTTTTTGAACTTTTTTCTTTTCTTCGGGAATTTGTTCTTTTTTTCTTTCCTCTTCTTCTTCTTCTTCTTCTTCTTCTTCTTCTTCTTCTTCTTCTTCTTCTTCTTCTTCATCATCATCCTTTTCTTTGTTTCCTTCTTCTTCTTCTTCTTCTTCTTCTTCTTCTTCTTCTTCTTCTTCTTCTTCTTCTTCTTCCTTTTCTTTGTTTTCTTCTTCTTCTTCTTCTTCTTCTTCTTCTTCTTCTTC